TCATCGATGCCCTCTCCACATATATGTTTTCTGTATGCTTTTGTGGCTATTACCTGTTCTTGAATAGCAAACAAGAATCCTTCTGTTTCCGGAAAGATACTTCCACTCTTCAGCCATGTCAACGACGCCTCAGCGTCCACTCCTACATCCATTAATGAGTGATAAAATCGTCCATATAAAGGTTTATTTTTCCTTATTTCTAATCGAGTGCCATCATCTGCTTCACTGATCGGGATCCCAGGGCTTCATAAATTCAAAGATGTATAATTTATATCTAATGATGAGATAGTTGAAAGGATATTGGAAGTATGGTTTATAATGTAGTTGCGAAGATTACTTTCTTCCTTTCGTCATAAATTCAAGAGGCTGATTAGACCACGCCCTCCCATCTTCCTAGGAAGATACAATCTCACTACAGATGACTTTGGATGCCTCTTCTTTGAAAGCACCATCTGTACTCTGAGAAAACGATCCAACCTTTCTAAATTGGTTTTAGTCCACTTCAGTACCCCAAATCAGTAGGCTAAAGCAGGTATTGCTCAGGTATTCAATGCCCATATCAAATTTCTTCCGCTTAAATGTGATTTAAGTACTAATTTAGCATGGTATTTAAATTCTTCCTCAAAGTTTTTCTTTGAATTAGCATTGAATTTCAGAAGTTGGTGTACTCCAAGGCCAATGATCTTCCTTGCGCGGGAGACTCAACGGTATCCAAGCATGGTTCAGAGTTTAATGATGAAAGTCCTATGGCAGCCAGTCTTACGGGAACATACGACACCGAGGCACTGCTCGCACCACCTGCAGATGTCAAAGGCTGAATATCCAATCCCTCCGAAGCAGCCTTCACTTCGAATTCGGATTATTATTATTATTATTATTTTATTTGTCGACACTTTTACAAAAGGTTTTTTGTTTACTTGAGAGGGGGAGAATCAACTCCAACCATCTCAGGTATGTTCTATTTTAATTTCTATTGAATGTTGAGAAAGCTTCTTACAATTCTGGCAGTATTCAACAGCACAGCTTTCTGAGCTTCATTTATTACATGAGTTGGGAGACCCAGTTTGTCAGTAGCTTCCACAGTAGACATCGGTGTCAGGCCATTGCTGGAGATTACAATGCTTAGTTGATAAGTTTATACAAACTTTTTAACTCAGCTGCTAGACCTTGATACTTCCGAATTTTTTCTGCACGGACTAAGTTAATGTTTCCGTCATTTGGCACAGCAATATCTATAATTTCAGCTACCTTAATATTGCCGTCAATTAACACAATATCAGGTCTGTTGTGGATCACGAGATGGTCTGTTATAAATGATTGATTCCAATATACTTTTAAGCCATCTTTCTGGCAGAGACCTTTAGGGCAGTATTTATAGTAGAGCACCGAATCGTTTAATAATATAATTTTTAGACCAATCGCCTGATGATACTTTGGCAACATCGTCATGTCTTTTTAGGTATTCTGTACCTGCAAGAGCTCCACAGTCTCCAGTTATGTGCTGAATGGATTCATATGTGCTTGCACATAGCCTACATTTGTCCGATACATTCTTTTGCTTCAAGACATGTCACCAGTAGGATCTGGCAGCTATAACCTGGTCCTGGATTGCAGATAAAAACCCTTCAGTCTCAGAGAACAGACTTCCTTCTACCAGCCAGCTAACGGACAAATTATTATTATTATTAATTATTTATTTATTTCACACTTTACATGGTTGTTTGTAACAATTGGGGACCGAATCGGTCAACCAAATATTACATTCATATATTTTCAAAATTATTTTATATTTGTAAATTTACGAACAATACTTGCCGTTCCCAACAATACTGCCATTTGCATTTTTTCCATTGTCACAAACGGCAAGTCCAGCTCACGCAAAGAAGATTGAGATTCTTCTGGTATTAATCCATTACATGAAATTACTAACGGTAAAATCCGGCTTTCCTTCAAATCATACAGTTGTTTTAATTCTTCTGCCAATTCTACATATTTTCTTTTTTTTCCGCCACTACTTTGTGCAGATTATCATCTGAAGGAACTCCAATTTCTATAATGGACGCTATTTTCTTTTCTTTATCGATTATTAGAATGTCAGGCCTATTATGTGGGACAGTGTGATCTGTAAGTATAGGGTGATCCCAGAATAGTTTGACATTACGCTTGGAGATGATTGATTCAGGATGAATTTCACACTTTCTTGGCTTTTGTCAGAAATATTCACTTACCCGGACCAAGGTCAAGGGTTAGGCTCAAAATTTAAACTGTATTTAAGAACTTCCTGACGATGTTCGCTTTGCCTTATTATTATTATTATTATTATGTGCATGAACCTTTTTTTTTTTTTTTCAGTTATTCCCTTCCTTGCCATTTCTAGCATATGGGAAGAGGGTTGTTTTAGAGCAGGGGTCTCCAAACCTTTGGCAAGCAAGCTATATTGAGACCTCCACTAAGTCCTGTGGGCCAAGGCTTGTGATGAAAAAAAAAAAAAAAGTTGGTTCTATAAACGACACTTCAATTGTGAAATGAGCTTTCTAAGAGAAACAACTCATGCAATAAATGTTGTAGTAACCTCCTGTTTCAGTGATTTACTAAGTTTATTTTTTTTTAAATGTTACTCTGTAATCAAAGAAACTTTCACAGGCTGCTGTTTGGAGACCCCCCAATATTGACAAAAATTCAGTAGCTGATGTTTATATCCCTAATTCCCCAGTAAATAAACATTCCTAGTTATCAGTTCGAATAACCTTTACATTCTTAAACTTATGACCAAAAAAAGGATAAATAAAAGATAATAAAATAAGTTTTAGTAAATGTAACTTTCTATCGGAATTTTTACTTGTTGGGCACCTGGCTTTACTAGCCTAACGAGAATATAGAAAATATAAGTTACTTACCCATTATTTGGACATGATTAATTATTTATCCTACCATGTTAGCTCAGATGAGAAGAGGTTAGGTTGAATATTTTTATAAACCAGCAAAAAAAAAAAAGGTGAAGAGATTATTTACAGAATTAATACAATGTACAAGCAAAAAATAAAAATAAAATAGAAGGAAAAAGAGAGAATTTACACATAATTACTATATACAATTAAAGATAAATAGGAAGATACTTAGATAGTAAAGATAATAAACATAACAAAAAAGATACTTATTCTTTATACATTAGTATGGCATGCCACATATAAACATCAAGAAACGATAGTCAAGATATAAAATATCAGAGCACATGCACATGCTATAAAAGGAATTAATAATTAGTCACAGGAAACAAAAGATAGAAGAGTTATATATATTTTTTTTTTTCAATGCTTCCTTAATCTTGGTTACAAACTCCATATTTTTTTGTTTTATTTTTTTTAATTTGTAATTTTGGGGCTGCTAATACTTTTATATTTTAGCAAACTAGCACATGTATGTGTTGATTTCCATTATTATTATTTTTTGATAACCTAGATAGCTGTTATTTTTTTTTGTTAGTAATCATACATATTTTTAACATTTAAGTTACAGTCTTTCTTCATGAAGAAATGAACCTTGGGTAATGTACTTTAAGTAGAATAAATCTATTTGTAACTGACTGTAGTTGGTGTAAGTTAGTAGTGTATATAAAATAAGAATGGTTTCTCAAACAAATACACTTGTTTACTTTTTGTTATAATCATAAATCAATTATACAACTGTAGTTGGTATAAGTTAGTTTTTAGTGTATATAAAATAAGAATTGTTTCTCAAATACATTTGCTTTCTTCTTTTTTCTGTTTTTATCAAAAGTCAATTGTATAACTGTAGTTGGTATAGGTTAGTTTGTAGTGTATGTAAAATAAAAATGGTTTCTCAAACAAATATGTTTGTTTACTTTTTGTTTTTTAATCATAACTCAATTCTGAGTGCTTTATCTGCCTGTATACTAAGGGTTAGTCCTCTTTTCATTACTAAATAATTCTTCACCTGTATTTCGATTTTCATTGAATGTATTAATGTTTTTTGTTTTTACTTTATTATATTAATAAATCAATTTTCACATCTTATTTGTCCTATGTTATCCATAAAATATATGGTTATTTTCTTGTTCATTTGATTACCGAAAAATTCATTACATCCTCCTTCCTAAAACACTGATTCCTATGGCTTGATTTTCTTCTTGTAATTGGTAGCTTACTCTGGGGCCTTCTTTTTTTCATGGATTAGAATCCATTTTCCATTCCTTTTTGAAGAGGTTGCTTAGATTCAGATACAGTTAAAACCACTTTATCTAGTCCTGGAACATACCTAGTCTAGATTAGTTAAATAGGAATGTATACATAGAATTACAGGGTGTACACCATTTATGCAGAGTTAATGGGTCTTTCATTAATATTATATTGTTATGGGTGAAAGGCATACAGATGTGAAGTGTTGCTGATATTTGATTAAGATCAATAGTATCTGTTGTTATATGTCCCATACTTTGTATAGGTTAATTCTTTGGTTTAAAAAGGTGATGCTACTGATTTATCTAGTTTAGATATCTAGGAAAATGGGATTCAGAGTATTTTAAGAGATTTGGGCTTGTTTTTTGATGGTGGGTTATTATTTTAATGTTTATTAAAAGCAATCATTTTAAGAAAATGTAGGTGAGGAGATTATCTCTGATAGTAAAAGAGTTGTATTTTGTTTTCCTTGAAAAGATGTAGAAAATATAATTTTGAGTTGGATATTCTATCCATGGATTCAATTTTTAAGCATAAATTATGATTGACTTTAATGAAGAGAAGAATAGTTGGGGTGATCAGTCAAATAAGAAGTCAAAAATAAATATTATCATTTATTTTTGCTTTCTTATTTGACTGATCATCCCAACTATTCTTCTCTTCATTATTCATGACAGTCAACCATTTACCCACAATTATGATTGATTTTAATATTTGTTAAATGATGATATGTTATTTTATAATTGACTCAAATAACCAATTAAGAATGCATATTATAAAATTAATATTGAGTTTGTTTTTTAGGTTTAGCAATTTGGGTGAATATTGCTTCACACCTAATTAGTTCTGCACCAGTTAAACTCATGAGGAAATTTGATTTTAATAGATACGTCCAGTATGTCCCTTCACACAGGGTAAGATTTTTCTTCCTAATGGCTGTAAATTTAATTTTTAATTGGAATTAGAATAGATTCTTTTCATTCTTCAGGCAATTTCTCATTTTCTCAGATCTTTTTAATCAATAAATGTATTTTAACAACTACAACTTCGCCGCATACTTTAATTAGTTCACAAGGAATATTATCTGTTCACGCTGCTTTCTATGATTTTAATTTTCTCTTTAACTTCCTCTTTACTCGGTTCTTCAATTAGTGGTTCAGCACTCTGGTTGTTTAGGGACACATCAAACTATCGATTTAAATGTAATTTAAATTAAATCAAGAAACACATCACAGCTGTTATCTGGAGCATACTGCATATATACCTCAGATGTTATTGTGACGCCGCCATTACTGAAGCGTAGACGCTCACATAGCGTGAGAGATTGACTAGACTGGCCAGTTTGAAAATTTGTTATTCCACTGCTTTGCTGAATATGGAGTAAAAAACTACATCGGCTGGCAAGGGGCCAAGAAAGGAAGAGAGAGAAGATGAACAAGAAGACTGTCAAATAGAAGAAAAGAGAAAATGCGAGTATCCCAACCCACCTATATTTAACCTCCGTATAAAATTACATGTAATAAAATAAAGCAATCAATTTTACAAATTCACTTTTTTAGTCTATTAACTTCTCTAATTTTACAGTCCACAGCAATAAATTATCACCAGCTCTTAAAGCAGAATTATTATGACAATATCCCTGACAGCCTTGGAAGGGATTGGCATAGTGAATTAAACACTGGTATTCAGGAGAAGGGCACAGATCATTATTTCCTTGGATGTTCCTCCCGGCTAAGTCCGATGGACTTGCTGACCAACAACGATAGGGTCCCTCCAGCAAGTCTGGAGGGTTTGACGTAGGATTAAACGCCCTACTCATATATCTTTAGTTCATGGTTTCTATAGTCAAGGAAATAGTCAACATGAAACTTTACTTAAACTAATTGTCAAGCAGAATGATCCATCAGATACCCATTTACAGTGAAAAGATGTATACCACAAGATAGTTGTGTTGGGTATCTTGAAATATGCATCCTTATCTAGGAACCAAAATCTTCTGTACCTTGTGATAATAACTTAGCTGTAATATAAATGAAAATGTAGCAGCCCAATATTCAACTGAAATTAATGTTATTGTGGATTTTCACCTGTTAATAATAAATAAAAATAAATATTTGTAACTGCTTTGTTATCTTCAATTCACTATGCTTTAATGTCATTTTTAAATCAAGTAATTGGTTATTAATATCAGAATCATTCTGTTTCAGGTTCTTTATAATCTATTTGAAGCTTATTTGTATAAGATTATAGAAGATCATGTTATCATTACTGGAGTAGAGAACTTGCAAAGGTTAATTGTATTACTTTTGTAGTAAATTTCATAATTAACTATAATTTTGTGTTATATCCGTATTTTTTTCTACATTGTTTTTAAAAAAATATTATATTTTGGAATTTTACTTTTTATTGATACAATATTTGTGAAATGAGATCAGTAAGTAAAGCATTGAACTCCTGATTCTAAGACCAACTTTATTCTTGCCATCTTGACAAATTTATTTTTTATTGTGTCAGTCATGGATTGACTTTGGATAAACTCTAGTTTCAAAAATGGGTACTTGACCTTTCATTAGATTGGAGGAATAATGCGGCAGTTGAGCCTAGATGACAACCACATTGCCTTATTGTAGAACCATTGATCTTGAATCAACTTATTAAGTTAAAAGTCCTCCTATGTACATTATTTCTCTATTTGTTAATAAATTAATTGCAAGTAATGGATAATTGATGGTTATAGTAATGGTTTTAGTCAGGTGAAATTACAATAATTCCTTTCCTCTGCTTATATTTTTCTTTCCTTCTGTAATACTTAATGAATTAATAATTAAATTAAAATGAATCACTGTTTAATTTTTATCAATCTCTGTTTCTATAGCGTTTCCAAGTCAAATTCAATGTGTTTCCATTTCGAATTAAACTTTTTCCACACCAAATTCAACCTTTTCCATTTCAAATTCAACTTGTAAATTTTCAATTTTTTTTTTTCGAAATAAGGGCCAATTACTATATTATCGATGGTGTAACTTTTGAAAAATACCCAAAATTTCATAATGTGGCTGCTTATCAATGTAGTGTTATTTTTTAAAATTTTTCAGTATAATATTTCCATGTCGTATTCAATTTTTTCCAAGTCAAATTTAACCTTTCCTAAGTCAAATTCAACCTTTCAATTAAAATTAAACATTTATTATTTTTTTTTTTCAATATGAGGGTCTATTATTATGCTCTCGTAAGTGGAGTTTTTCAAAATACTATCGATTTATTGTACCTATTTGGATTTATTCAATATATTTACTAGCACAATGTTATCGTATGCGTAGTTTTTAAAAATACTATCAGTTTTAAGATTACGCCATCGAATATCGATTTATTGTTCCTTTTCAGATTTATTCGATACAATGGTCTATGCGTAGTTTAGGAAAATAATCTCTATTTCAAGATTACACTACTATGTTCAAGATTACACCCGGTCTTCTGATTTATACATAAGGGCCCACCGAACCGCTGCTTTCGACAGATCGTTCATTATTCGATCCTCATCTCTATGGAACTACATCCCTCCCCACATCCGTCAATCCAAAACCCTTCCTATCTTTAAATCCCGTCTGTTTAATCATTTCTTATCCATCCAGTCCTCATAAAATTGTAAATAGTTACTACTGTAAATATGTATATAAATTATTAGATCGTTCTTCATTATTTTTACTTCATGTTTATTTTCAATTTTTTATTTTTTATTATTAACTGATTTAAATTAGAAAGTAACTTATAATTTCTTTTTAGTTTTTATTTTGACTATTTAATTAAACTATATTCTTGTTTATGTATCTCTGAGGCTCCTTAGCCCACATTTTTGTCTTTCTGTATTATTCTAAAGGGACTCGTCCCAGAATAAATAAAGCATTATTATTATTATCTTTTTTATTCTCGCCTTTGCGGATTTAAAGCTGAAGGTGGGGGACAAGTCCAACCACCTGCAGTTATAATATTTTAGATAGTTAAAAATGTTCTTGTTATTCTCGCTGTAACCAAGAGAACCGCTTGCTGAGCCTCTCTTAACACATCCAGGGGCATTCCAAGCCGTCCATACCTACCACAGTTGACGTTGGGATGAGACCATTGGTTGATATTATTATTGGTGTAACCAATACGCTCTCCAAATGGCACAACTCCTTTAATTCAATCGCTAGTTCTTGGTACTTACGGAGCTTCTCTCCCACGGTCGTGTTTATGTTGTTATCGTTTGGAATCGCGATATCAATTAAGTTTGCCTTCTTTGCTCCTAAATCCATAATAAGGATATCGGGTCTGTTGTGATGCACTGTATGATCCGTTATTATAGATTCGTCCCAATACATCTTGAGGGAACCCTTCTGAAGCAGCCTTATCGGATTATATTTGTAATATGGCACCTTTTCATCCAACAGGTTAAGTTTCACAGCCAGAGTCTGGTGGAATATTTTCGCCACATTGTTGTGCCTCTGCAGATACTCCGTACCAGCGAGTACTCCACATCCAGCTGTGATATGTTGGATTGATTCGTACGTCGTTGAACAAAGTCGACATTTATCAGATGTTGTAGTGTCTTTAAGAACGTGCCTCCCATATGACCTGGTGGCAATGACCTGATCTTGAATGGCGACTACAAACCTTTCTGTTTCAGAGTATAGCCATCCTGCCGCTAACCATTCCACAGATTTTTCTTTGTCTATGGAGGCTTCATTCAATTGGCTGTAGTATCTGCCATGTAGCGCCTTGCTTTTCCATTCTGACAGCCTTTCATTTTCGGACACAACTGTGAAATCTTCGGCTTTGTTCAAATTGAGTGCCGTTAGACCTGAACCCATATTAGTTATACTAAGTAAATCCCTGTAGTTTTTGCAAGAAAATATCGTCGTAGCGCCGGCTCTTGCTTTCGACATGCTTCCTCTATATTTAGAAGTCCGCGACCTCCTTCCTTTCTAAATAAATACAGGCGGGCTTTGGAGGATGTTGGATGGTGAGAGCGCTCTTGTGTGAGTGTCGTTCTTACTAGACGATCAATCTCCTGTAGACTGGTATTGGACCACTGTACTATACCAAAGCTATAGCTCAGAGCTGGTATGACCCAGGTGTTAATGGCCTTAATTTTGTGCTTCCCAGATAACTGAGTCCTGAGTACTTGTCGCAATCTCTTTCTGAACACAGTCAGAAGCTGTTGTTGCACGTCCCTTCGGGCAATTTTAAGGTTTTGTTGCATGCCTAAATATTTATATAAATGGTGTGCTTCTAGCTCTTTAATGTGATCTTCTTCATTTATCAGGATGTTCTGGGTATTAACCTTTCTTCCCTTTTTTACATGAAGCACCGGGCATTTATCAAGTCCGAATGACATACCTATATCACTGGTAAAGGATGATACTGTTTCAACCATGTTCTGTAATTGCTGTTCATTTTTCGCATACAGTTTGAGGTCATCCATATACCAACTATGACTGATTGTGGTATCATCATCTTTGATGTTAAGTTTGTAGCCCACCTTGCTCCTTTTGAGTATCTGGCCTAATGGGAACTGTGCCATACAAAACCACAGAGGGCGAAGGCAATCTCCTTGATAGATGCCTCTAAGAATTTTAATTTGATTGTTAGCGCGGATTGCTCCTATATTCAGCGTGGTAGTCCAGTCCGCCATTAAATTTGAAAGAAGTTTGCTTATTTTAGGTTGAACCTTGTATATTTCCAATACTTCGAGCAGCCAACTGTGTGGTACAGAATCGAAAGCTTTTTTATAATCGATCCACGCAACAGAAAGATTTCGCTGGCTTTTTGATACTTGCGCGGCAATAAATGAATCTATTACTAAAAGTTCTTTGCTGCCCCTAGCCCTTTCTTGCATCCTAACTGTTCGGTGGGTATCATGCTCTGAGATTTAACTCATCTCCTTTTTCGGAAGCATATACGTGATCCCATCAGAGAAACCAGTAGGAGGACTCTGTTTGCTATCCAGTATATCTTGATAACTATTGGCCAACAATTCATAGAAGCACCTAAATCGTTTAATCCAATAGTTTTGGACTCCATCTGGACCAGGTGTCATTTTCCTTACAGCTTCCGTAACATCTTGTGTTGTAATTGTTACCTCTTGCATCTCAGAAGCACATTGAAAATGGGAAATTTCTTCCGTTATCCAAGGAGCGTTCGTGATCTCTTCATGATTCGTTGATTTTTCTCATACATTTTTCCAGTACGCTTTAATGCCTTCAGGGTAATGATTCGGTGTTTTCGCCTTTTGTCTAAGGCTCCTATAAAACTGGCGTTTATTTTGTTGGAACATGTTATTCTGCTGCCTCCGTAAAGCTGCTTCTCTATATCTACGCAATCTGTTTGCAAAAACTGCTAATTTCTGTTTTAGGTTATCCAGATATAGCGTCAGTCTATCGGTCAATTCATTTTCCATAACTGTACCCAAGTTTTGGACTATGATTTCATCTATCTTTTTCTTTGTCTTGGCTCTTGCAGTTTGTGGATTACGAATATAATTTGAAATGATGCCAATTTTTTCCCTTAATTTAATTGTTTGGTGTTAATTTTCTTTTGAAGTATTTTTTTCCATTGTGGAATTCCTTTACTACCCACTGGAAGTTTTATTTTGTCTTCTATTTTTATACCAAGCTCCATTATAACTGACTTGGCAGCAATATACATCCAATGAGGAGAATATCTTTGAGGCCATCAATTAAGTCCAAGTGATCTTTAAGAACATTATTCATCGCAATAGTTATTCTCAGCGTGGCCTTGTTATATGGCACTCGTGGTAATGATGGTCGTTCCAGAAGCTGAATTCCCTCAAGCAGAATATGCTCCGTTAGGATTGCTTCACTCAGTCTGTTTTCAAGATCATTTTCTGTTTCCATATCTTTTTGTTTCTCTATAGAGCTGTTTGGTGCACTGATGCTTCTAGACATGGTTTCCGCATTTGTCATTGTATTAATCATTCTATCCGACATTTCGGCATTGTTTTCAGTAACTATTAACTTGCTAACTTCCTCTCTAATTTGTTGGAGGTCAGAGGGGGTAAGAAAATTTCTTCCTAGAATCACCCTAACCTGGTCACTCAGCCTCTGCGTGCTTATATTACCTTCTGGAAACTTCTCACGCCAGTATGTCTGTATACGGTTAAGATATCCTGTTTTTTCAATTTCAAGATTTGTTGCCAAGTAGTATGCCCGGATGACAGCCTTGTTCATATCTGGCGTCCATTTCATCCTCTTTGCACCTCTTGGTCTCTGTTGCCGAATTCGTGCGGGTGGA